GGCCGGTGGGCACCGTTGGAAGAAGTGAAGCCTAAGAGTGGCATGATCCGATTGAGCTATTATGAAGTCCATCATGGTAGCACTTGGCTGGACTGGGAACTCTGCTTTTCAAAAAATCCTTGAAGAAACACTGAATATCTCATCTACTGCAGCGGTAAAAAGCTTGGCAGGGAGCAGCATGGTGGTTAAGTGAGTCGCTTGAAGGAACGAAGAATATAGGTTGATTCTCAGATGGCACTTCAATGTTTTTGGGGGGAATAGCTTGTACTGATAACCAAAATTAGGATTAAAGGACAAAGAATAGGTTTTTTTAAAAAGAGAGACGACTTATTCAGCTTTAGAAATTTTGAGTTTGAAAATGTTTGAGCTATCCATATTGAGGGTTCTACTGACCACCTAGTAATCCAATGCCGGAGATCATAGCAGTAGCCCAAACTGAGATACAAACCTGAGAATAGTTAATATGAAGTGAAATTAGATGGAGTCTATTGGAGTGACTGTATCAGGTAAAGTAAAAACAGAACTGAGAACAGAACCCAGACAACTATTAAAGAGCATAGTAAGTCGCATAGTCAAGAAAGAGACTGAGAAGGGCACTGAGAGGCAAAAGTCATGTAACATGGGAATTTTTGGGAAGAAGAAAGAGACCAATAGTTTTATAGAGAGTGAGACACAAAGTAATACAAAACATAAGTTTGGCTGTCAATGATTTGGCAAGTAGGAAGTTATTGGTGACTGTAGAAAGACCATTTTATTGTCATAACTGGGTCAGCTATCAAATTGCAAAAGTTAGAAAGTGAATGGAAAGTGATGAAAAGCAGACAAAGTCACATACTTCACTGGGAATTGAAGAGCAAAGAGGATACACAGTTACAGGACACAGAATCTAAGAAGGTTTAAATTCATGTTTGCTTATTCATTTTCAGGAAGAATGAAATATGAATGTATTTATAGGATCACAGCCACTCGCTTCACAGGCAGCCTCTAGCTATTGGCTATATAAATCACATGTAAAGGGGGACCCTCGCAAACCCTGAAGGCTATGGCAGTTTCTTTCTTGCTTGCTCCACTGGAAACAGCCACTTACCAGTGTAATAAATCCACCTATGTGATTTACTTTCTCAGTCCAGTGAAAAGTCACATCCTGGGTGATGCTTTGTGACACCATCAATGTACTTTCACATGGAGGGGAGGTAGACATGACATTCATCTCTGCCCAGAAATACTGGGGACGCTTTTGTCAGAGAGTGTGAGACCTTGCTGGGAGTTTAAATGGACATAGCTGGAACTGTTTGCGTGACCCACATTCCGGGGAATATTGTTAATAAACTACTAGTCAGTGTGTCCTTTCTTCGTGCTGCTAGCTGGGGGTAGCACATGACCTTTGTGCTTTTGTGTTAATTTTAAAATTTGAAGTTTCACTGCTCCCTCAAGGAAATTTTTTAATAAATGTTTCTTTAAACGATGTTTTCCCATCAATAACTTTCCTCCCAAGGACCTTTCTTATGCAGAAGGGCAACCCACATCTACCACTTTAAGCCAGAAATATTTGGCATGCTATTTCCAGTGCTACAGAATGGGGAGTATACATCTATTAAAATTCTTTACTTATTCTTTGCAAGACCAGTTCTACAGCAGAAAACACATTTTTTTCCACAGGAATTTTGAATCGTATGTACATGTTGTCTACATGCTTTAGCTTTCTTACATATTACACTGCTATATTAAATGCATCAGCTCTATATGAAGGAAATTGCTTTGGGGGAGCAGCATGTTCACTGAAGCTCCAGAGTATTTTCCTTCTCTTTTTTTTTTTTTCTGACCTCCCCCACCTCCCAATTTACATTTTCTCAGCACAGATCATTTATCCTAATGTGACGGGAGGAATTGAGGTCAGAAAGCTAATAAATGGCAGGTGTCTTCCACTATAGCTGTTTTCATCCATTGTGTATACCACACAGTATTGTGTAATAGACACTGAGTGGCTCTGATATCCCACCACCTCAAACAAGCCTTAGCTCCACCATATACTGCTGTGTGACATTTGGCAAGTTACTCAACCTTTCTGTGCTTCAAGCTCATCCTCCTTAAAATGCAAAGAATGGTGGTGCCGACTTTACAGGGTGTTATCAGTTTTTAATGAGAGAAATGCAGGTAAACTGCTTGTAACATACCCGGCATACATAAGTACAGCTTAGCTATGATCACTTTTGAAAAGCGCTAAAAAGGTCCGTGATTTTACTCAGTTGTAGAATGTACTAATATTTTTAATTACTAGAAAATGAGGACTCATGATTGTGATTAAATAAAAAGGAATAGGACTGATATTCAGAAATGAGCAAAGATTTTAAAGCTAAACAAATCTGGTTGTGGACTTCCATTCTGTCAGCTGATGCTCTGTAACTAACCTCAGACAAATTGCTTCATCTCTCTGAGCCCCAATTTTCTCATGTATAAAAAGAAGAATGATAGTTACCTTATATATTTCTTATGAAGATGAGAGAACATTTGACTCAGAATATAATACATACTTAATAAATTTAAATTTCTTGCTATAATTTTTAAGTAAATTCTTATTTTATCATAAAGGCAAACCTGCATGTACAAGAAAATAAAAAGGAAACCAAATACACACATCTAAAGCAAAACAGCCCTTTCTTTATTACTCCTTGAGTTGTTAGGAAAAAAATCCTGAAAGCTTTGAGAAAAGAATGTTTGACTGTTCTTCATTACTGTATAAACTCAAATATTGGAAATTTGTTTTATGTTTGTAGTACACATGGTTATTGAATTGGAACATCCTTAGTAGATTTTCTGTTGGATTTGAAGAGAACCCTTAGGTAATAGATTTATCAATCCAAAGCAAAAATCAAAAGTAAAAATAAAATCACAGATACATAAAATTTATTCCTAAAAGTCAACATATTATCTTCTTAAATGATTTATAAGTACCTTTTAAGAGGCTATTTACTTAATTTTGGCAGGATAGAGTTCAATCACTAGAGGCAAGTAAGCATCACGTTTGTTTTCAAAGGTCTCCACCGAAAGGGTCGATATTCTCCAACATAACCAATTTGCAAACCTTATTATTAAAACACTAGAACATCACCATAATTCATTAGCACCATTGAATGGAGTAGAATTTTGTTTTGCTGAAGGAACAGAAAGCTAGCTTAAACACACACCAGTTTGTCCTTCTCACATTAAAAGCTATCTGGACAAAACTTCAGCCTCAGCATGTCTGTTAATCTTTTAGCCTTTCCCTTGTGATTGTTGCCTAATGGTCAGAAGATGGCTATAGCAAGAGCCAGTATCATGCCCAAGTTCAAGACAGGCAAAAGGAGTGACAAGTGCAGATATCTTTCCTTATCATCCAGCAAAGAAAGTCTTCCCGAAGGCTCCAAGAAGACTTATTGACCAGGACTATGCCATATGACCACCCCACTGCAAGGGAAGTGGAACAAGTATTTAATATTCCAGCTTCTAAAATGGAAATGTCAAGGGAATATGGGGTGTGAATGTCTGTTAGAGTTAGTGAATGAGGCCTGATACACCATTATCGAGAAACTGCTTGTTCTAAATAGGCCTACAAAGGAAGCTAACTAGACTCATTATCTGCTCTAATCTTTACTGCCCTTAGAAAATGCTATTTTCTAATTCCGCTTTATATGCACTTGAATATTGATATTAGGTTACTCAATATTATTTCCCAAATGGGATAATGTATTTCATTAGTGCTAGATTTGATACCAGGTGAGAATGTTGTGTTTGCTGTTACTGTTTCTACCTGAGCTAAGAATATTTCCTTTGGTAACAATTCTTTACTGCTTGAAATGTGATGGTTTTGCACTACTGAATCCATAAAGAAATTATTTTACAGGTGGGGAGGCAAAGCATCTGATGGTATAATCAAATCCTTGACCTAATTGTTGTTAAATAATTCCCCAAACATTCTGGAGTTTAACATAATTTCAACATGCACCACTTACTTTTCTTCCCCTTTTATGAAACTCCTTAGACTATTAAAATAATTTCACGGTATTCATTCCATCTGGGAACATTGGAGTCACATTTCCTTTGGCTGTTTTCCCCCCTTTCTCATCGGTTGATTTTTTACAAAGCTACTACCTAATATTAATATGATTCAAAAGTATTATCTCTTAATTAGTGGAGTACTTAGGATGAAATAATGGGGGTGTTTGGCCCAGGTGTATACACCAAGGAATGTATGGTTTGTAGGTATTGTAAAATTATCAATAAATCTTACTAAAAGTTGGACGGCTTTTTATTACCACCACGTACTGCCGATTCTAAAAAATGTACGTGATAAAATACGCTTCCTGTTAGGGCAAGACCCTACCTCTCCACTTTTTGTATGCACTGCTTTGTAAATTTCAATTGTTCACTTTCAAATAAGTTAATAGTTTAAGATTTTAAAGAGCAAATACTGTCTAAAATACTTCATATGGGAGAAAATTCAGGGTTTCTTTTTCTGGTTTTATCACCTTGATTACAGTCATGGCATCACAACTTGAGTGAAAACAAAAGGGGAGAAAAGAAAAAGACAGAACTTAAATAGAAATTGGACATAAATGTAAAACTGTAATAAAGGTAGAATTTGACTATTTTCTGAAGCATATTTCTCTTTTAAGCTACTGAAATCAATTCCTTTCCTAGAAGAAAAAGAAAATGGAAAGCCTCAAACTCAAGTTACATTTATTAGTGTTTCTTATTTCAAAATGGATATCTCAAACTCAGTATTTCTATTTCGGTTTTGGGCTAAACATAAAATGCAAGAGAGGAACAGCATAAGGTAAATTCATGCCATTTAAGGAACTGTATGTAATGAATTTGATTGCATAATAATGTGAAATACTGAACGTTAAGTGCTGGCTAGCATTCCAATCTTTGTTTTTCTGTTATATGGAATTAAAACACAAGAACAACAAAGTGGGAAGAGATAAATTTCTTACGTTCACTGTGATCCTTTATTTTTTTAGGCATTTTTGGACAGAAACTGGAGGATACTGTTCGTTATGAGAAGAGATATGGGAACCGTCTGGCTCCAATGTTGGTGGAGCAATGCGTGGACTTTATCAGACAAAGGGGGTTGAAAGAAGAGGGTCTCTTCCGACTGCCAGGCCAGGCTAATCTTGTTAAGGAGCTCCAAGATGCCTTTGACTGTGGGGAGAAGCCATCATTTGACAGGTAAATGTCATAATTTTACTAACCATCTCCAATCAGAAATTCAGACTGAACTGAAAGGATGCAGTGAGCTGAGGAGGCATAACCTTGATTGATGTGATAACAGTTTACAACAGAGATTATTTGGACACAGGAGTTTGCATTGTTTTTATTAAGTTACAAAGTTAAAAATTTGGCAATTTAGATGTCTTTTTCTTCCATACTTTCCATCTTAAAACATTCTTTGTTGTTCTTTTTCCTTTTTCTTTGGTACTAAAGTAAAACTATATTAATCTTTTGCACTGGAAAAAGTAAACTTATGAAATAAGATTCTTGTTTAATTTTTTTAAATTCTTTCAATTAAGGAATATTAAAAGTATGAGTAGAGATTGGGATATTGGCAATGTAATTAAAAATGAGTATTTTAATAACAAAAACATTATATTTTTAAATATATAGCTCTACCTTAATCTAGAATAGTTTTACAGGTTAACAAGGAGAAGTATAGCATGGTAAAAATAAAAGAATAATGGCAGCCCCAGAGAAGAAAATATAAAGTATTCCTAACTCCACTAATTAAGAGTTAATCATGGCTAATATTTTGTGAATTATCTCCTTAAGTAGAAAAAATAAAATTTTATCTTGATATTATTAGTATTATACACCAGAAATGTTTCCATATTAATAGTTTAAAAATCTCCTTCTATTCTAACATATTTTAACATTTTAAAATTAGCAACTTCTATAAACCTCTTTTTTAATATCCAATATTTCACTCTACAGCTTTATTATTCATAACTATTTCAATGTTATTGGATATTTACATTATAAGTTTTTCATTCTAAATACTGTTGTAGTTTATATACATTTACGTAAATACTTTCTATTTTTGGATTACTTACGATAAATTCTCAGCATTGGACTTTTCGGATAAGAATAATCCTGATGTTAGGCCGGGTGTGGTGACTTGCACCTGTAACCCCAATACTTTGGGAGGCCAAGGTGGGCGGATCACCTGAGGTCAGGAGGTTGAGACCAGCCTGGCCAACATGGTGAAACCCCGTGTCTACTAAAAGTACAAAATTAGTCAGGTGTGGTGGTGCACACCTGTGTTGCCAGCTACTTGGGAGGCTGAAGCAGGAGAATCACTTGAACCTGGGAGGCAGAGGCTGCAGTGAGCCGAGATCACGCCATTGTGTTCCAGCCTGAGTGACAGAGTGAGACTCCATTCAAAAAAAAAAAAAGAAGAAGAAGAATCCTGATGCTTGAAAATTAAAAATAGCCTACTGTCTTAATCCATTCAGGCTGTCATATCAAAATATCATAAGCTGAGTGGTTTACAAAACAAAATTTATTTCTGAAAATTCTGGATTCTGGAAATTCTGGAAAGTCACAGTACAGGCACTGGCAAATCCATGTCTGGTGAGGACTTGCTCTCAGCTCACAGATGGCACCTTTTCACTGTGCCCTCAGTTGGTGGAAGGTACAGAGCAGCGTTCTGGGTCCTCTTTTTAAAAAAATGTCTAAACAAGTTGTAGATTCAAGCTCAACTTGTGACTGTGAGTAATAACAAATCACAGTTTAGTTATAATTATGAAAATCATGGAATCAGAATGCAAAAGAAAGCCCTTATGAAGATGAACTTTATGAATGATGACATGAATATTACTATTAATGATGGCTTAGTTTTATTTTTTTGAAACAGAGTCTTGCTCTGTTGCCACACGCTGGAGTGCAATGGTGTGATCTCAGCTCACTACAATCTCCATCCCACCGGTTCAAGCCATTTTCATGCCTCAGCCTCCCGAGTAGCTTGGATTGCAGGCATAGACCACCATGACTGGCTAATTTTTGTATTTTTAGTAGAGACAGAGTTTTGCCATGTTGGCCAGGCTGGTCTCAAGGTTTAGGTTTCTATATGACTCAAGATCTGCTTTGTATTTAGAATGAACAGTGAAACAAGTGTAAATAACATACAAATAAAATAACATGTGCTTCTTAAAAGTTATATATGAAAAGGGCTGGACGCAGTGACTCACGCCTGTATCCCAGCACTTTGGGAGGCTGACGCAGGAAAGTCTCTTAAACCTGGGAGGCGGAGGTTGCAGTGTGCTGAGATCAGGTTACTGCACTCCAGCCTGGGCAACAGGGCAAGACTCCATCTCAAAAAAGAAAGAAAAGAAAAGAAAAAAAA